CTGGTTGGAATACGTAATATTGTTAAGATGCCAATTTTCCCCAAACTGCTCTATTAAATGCAACTTCAATCAAAATACTAGTAGTGGTTTTTTTTACACGAGTTGATACTAAAATAAAAGTCAACACACTTCTGAAAGAGATCAACAAAGTCAGAGCACTCATATTGCTTGATTTCAGGATAAATAATAAAGCCACAGTAACCAAGACAGTATTGGGAAAAGGCATATAAATCAATACAATAGGAAAGCCCAGAAATAGACCCACACAAATACAGTTGATTGTTTTTTCCAAAGGGTAAGGTAGACTTTTTGACAAACGGTTATAAAAATACTGAATATTCATATGCCAAAAATTAAACCTTGACCCATACCACACACCAAAAAAAAGAAGCCCCCCAAATTATCATAGAACTAAAAGTAAAATTTTAATCTATACAATGTCTAGAAGATAACATACGGGAAATAAAATTAGGTAAAGATTCCTTAGCTATGACACCAAAAGCAGAATCCATAAAAGAAAAAATTAACACCCAGACTTCATCAAAAGTAGAATCTTCTACTCTTAGAAATGCTGTTAGAATAATAAAAAAATAATGAGCCACAGATTGGGAGAAAATATTTACAAATATTATATCTGACAGAGGACTTTTATCCTAAGTATATTAAGAACTCTCAAAACTCTAGTAAAAAAGCAAACAACCCAAATTTTTAAATGAGCAAGCATCTGAACAAATGTTTCAGTAAGAAGACATTCAGATGGCAAATAAGCACATGGAAGTAAGTAAATTACTTTTAGGGAAACGCAAATTAAAACCACAATGTTATACCATTACACACCTATTAGACTGAGAAAAATAAGACAAAAACGAACCTGACAATGCCAAATAATAGCTAGGATATGGAGCTAGGATACTGGAACTCCCCTAATATGCTGGCAGTAGTGCAGAAAGTATAGCCAAGTTGGAAACAGTCTGAAAGTTTCTCATAAAATTAAACATACACTTAGCATATGACCCAGCTATCCCACCTATAAGCATTTACCCAAAACATATGAATACTTACTCTCACACAAATATCTGTATCTAAAAGTTCATACAGAATTAATTGTGAATTTCCCCAAACTGGAAACAATCCAAATATCCTTAAATTGGTGTATGGTTAAACTCTGGTATAGTCATACAGTGAATACTACTCAGCAGTAAAAGGAGTGAACTACTGATACACACACCATATGATGGTGAAGTGCATATCAAATGCATTTTCATGTTAAGTTAAAGAAGCTGGGTTGAAAAGACAACATATTGTATGACTCCATTTATATAACATTTTGGAAAAATCAAAATTATAAGACAGAAAACAGATCACTGGTTGTCAGAGGTTTGAGCAGGGGGAGAGGCTGGTTACAGGGGCACAGGGACAATTTTGGAGACAACGGATCTATTCTGTATATTGACTTTAATGGTGGTTATATAATTGTATGCATTTGTCACATTCGGAACTGTACACTAAAATGGTCAGTTTTACTGTGTGTAAATTATACCTTAACAAACAATGGGGAAAAATGATCAAGCAATTTTTAACACTTCTGAGACATTATGTAAGAAAAGAACAACACCCTGTCTATTGGACTCAGGAGCAGGAATGTCCTTGTTGAGACAAATTTTTTTTTTTTTTTTTTGCGGTACGCGGGCCTCTCACTGTTGTGGCCTCTCCCGCTGCACAGCACAGGCTCCGGACTGATGCGCAGGCTCAGCGGCCATGGCTCAGGGGCCCAGCCGCTCCGCGGCATGTGGGATCTTCCCGGACCGGGGCACGAACCCGAGTCCCCTACATCGGCAGGCGGACTCTCAACCGCTGCGCCACCAGGGAAGCCCGAGTTGAGACAAATTTTGAAGTACCATGGAAAGCACAGTCAGTTTGTGGTTGTTCAGGAAGCCAAGCAACTGCACCCAGTAAAGGAGCAACAGCCAGTGCAGTTGACAATTCTCTCAGGAAACTTGAATTTAAGAGAGAGAGAAGGTGTTATGTAGAGTGTGACTTCAAATTGGGTGAGAATTGAAATTTGAACATTTGCCTGTATATAGGGAAAAGACAATAGAGCAGGAGGTAGAAGATACCAGGAGAAGAGGGAAAATTAACAGTACAAGGTATGTGAGGAGACAGGAGCGGATGAGTTGAAACACAGAATCAGAGCAGTAAGCAGATAAAGAAAGGCATCATTCCTATCTTAACTGGAAAAAGATACCGGTGTGAATATGTAAAATTTTGACATAGGGTGGCAGAAAGCTGAGGGAGTTTCTAAATTATACCTATTTTTCTCTGTGAGTAAACATGGAAACTGAAAAATATCTCTGTATAGTGCTGTAAGCCCCCTTGAAGCTGGAGAAAATCTGATACCATTAAAACAGTATTCTGTTAGTTTTTTGTTTTGTTTCTAAAAACACTGATCAACCCAGATTAAGTTGAGTAGATGAACAGCTGAACTCATCCAAGTTCTCGTATTTTTTTCAGAATGGTGAATTAGAAAAACAAATGAGGCATAGGAACTGAGGATGTTTCCAAAACACACAGGTATTTTACCTGTTTAAGAAAGCAAGTAAAAGTATGGAGAAGAAAAGCAGTCAAGGGATTGTTGATCTTAATGAAGCTGAACCACCGTGGTAGGTGTGACACAGAAAAAAATAACAAAAACTTGCTATGAAAGCTATCATCAGATAGTAGAATTTCAGGGCTTATAGATTTCCTAAGTGGAATGAGTAAGGATAAATTCATCAGGTGACATTGGTGAGGGAAACTGATGTTGAAAAGAGGTCATATCACATGATATGAACTGTTAAGACACTGTAGGTTTTCCAGAGTCATATTTAAAACTGAGAACACTGGAGTGACTTAAAAAATTAATTGTAGAATAGGTACCAAAATATTCATTGAATGAGAAAGAATGACTATAAAATTGATAATGAGCAATTGTACAGAGAACTAGATTGCTGAGTTTTATAGCTCTGAAAGGAGCAAGAGTTCAAGTGAGGATATAAGAATGAAGGTATTGAGTGGCTCTGGTGAGTGAGGAGGATTCTTAAGCTACTACCCACTCCTCAGCTATGAGGACCACAGGGAAAGGCAAGTTTTTCTTAATTATGTGATGGAGAAAATGTCCTGAGGGGGTCAGGATTCAGTTAAAGTAAGGTCCATATACTCTTTTTATAGGTAGAATTCATGTCTCATGAAAAAAGTAGTCCTAGTACACAGCAGAAAGGATGCTTTTTTAGTGTGTTTTCTGTGTGTTGGGGGGTGGGAGGTACCTTTGAAGAGGCAAGGGACAGTGGAAAGCTGAGTTAGAAGAAGTATGGAGATGTCATTCCTAAAGAAGACTGATAGCTAGTGGGAATTATTATTGGATAGTAACCAAAACTGATAGGTACAGAAGCACGTTCTTTATGTTATTTCTTAATGACTCTGTATTAACGCATCCTTGGATTTCACAAAAAAGTAAAAGGGATTAGACCAGATAGTACCATATTGAGAAACAGCAAATGTAGAGCATACATGCTGCTCCTACACACTTCTGAGCCCGTGGCAGGCATGACGAATTGATTATGGCACCCTTTCCTACCAATACCAGATTCAGTTCAAAATGCCTTCTCAAGTTACCTATCCAGATAATCATTTCCAAATGGCCAAAAATACCACAGTAATTAAATCTACTTTTTAAATCCTTGTCATATTTTTCCACAGTTGTTTTCCTATTTAACATTTCATATGGGACCCCTGTTCTCCACATTCCAGAAAGAAGAGAGATCAGCATTCCTCCCTTCCATTAGGTATTTTTACTCTCAAAAAAAAAGGGGGGACTCCATTCACTATTCTCACCTACTTCTCTCAGAAATAGAGGTTCTTGGGCTTCCCTGGTGGTGCAGTGGTTGAGAGTCCGCCTGCAAATGCAGGGCACACGGGTTCGTGCCCCGGTCTGGGAAGATCCCACATGCCGCGAAGCGGCTGGGCCCGTGAGCCATGGCCGCTGAGCCTGTGCATCCGGAGCCTGTGCTCTGCAACGGGAGAGGCCACAACAGTGAGAGGCCCGAAAAAAGAAAGAGGTTCTTTAAGGAGTTTCTTGAAGTCTTTCCGGATTTTAAAGGGAAATTTATTATACTTTAGTAGAAATTATAGTTGATTCCCAAAATTGATATTCTTGCTCTGTTTTACAGAGAAAAATAAGTTTACGTTATTTCATTTTTTTTACTTCTTGATCTCTTATTAAAGTGTTCAGGACAAAACAAGCAAAGCCCTTTCCTTCAGTGAAGTCATATTCAAAATCTTTAGAGAACATTTATAAAATTGAGCCCTTCCATGTCATACTTAACATGTTACGCATTACACTTAACAGTTCAGTTGACAGACCAGAGTGAGTGCCAAGTTTTACCTCATACTGGCTGTGTACTTTGGGCCAAGTCACTAACCATTCTTTGCTTTGTCTCCGTCTGTTAACTGCAACAATGGGTGGGGGAAGGGCAATGATGACACCCACCTCATAGTGTTGCTGTGCTGTGATCACTAAATGGGAGAATAAGTACTTAGAACAGTTCCTGCCTCAGTAATAGTAATAGGAACCTCAGTGGGGAAGAAGATGGAAACTGTCTTCATTCAAGGGACAAGGAGGCTTATGTTGAGCCTAGAAAAGAGATGATTTAGAGGAGGAGTTATCTACCTTTTATATGGAATGATGGGCTAAATAAAGTTACACAGAACTGTAGCTTGGCTCTCCTTATATAAAAATATCTAATAATTAGAACCGCCTAAAATTGGATGCTGTGTCTCAGGATTGGTAAATTGCTTGTTGGTGGAGCATGAAAAGCAGAGGCTGAATGAATAATCATCATGAGTGTTGTGAACTGAGTTTATATAGATGTTTGACTAGAAGATATCTAAGATCTTTACACTCAAATGCAGTGTTTATTGTATCATAAGTAAGAATTACTCTGAGATTGTTTAGCTCTAATATGTCAGCTTAAAAAGAAAAAAAGAAAAAGAAAGATTTCAAGGATAATGGGTTATTTGATGAAGTTGAATTTAGGAGTTAAAATTTAAAGGTTATGTTGAATGGAAATCATAGTCCTTTTTTTTTTTTTTTGCGGTACGCGGGCCTCTCACTGCCGTGGCCCCTCCCGCTGCGGAGCACAGGCTCCGGACGCGCAGGCTCAGCGGCCATGGCTCACGGGCCCAGCCGCTCCGTGGCATGTGGGATCTTCCCAGACCGGGGCACGAACCCGTGTGCCCTGCATCTGCAGGCGGACTCTCAACCACTGCGCCACCAGGAAAGCCCTCATAGTTCTTTTTAAAAATTGAGGACAGTAATTAAAATCATATAGTCTTCTCTCGGTATCCACGGGGCAATGGTTCCACAAGCCCTCCCATAGCAAAATACAAGGATGCTCAAGTCCCTCAGTCAGCCCTCCATACCTGAGGGCTCTGCATTCTGCAGATTCAACCAACCGAGGATCATAAACATCATACAGGATTCCTGCTTGTTTGAATCCATGGATGCAAAACCACGGATCCTGAGGGCTGACTGTGCTATAAAAAGTTTAGAAGGAGTGGATGGGCACTAAATTTTAAGCCTTAAATATATAATACATATTTCGTATAACTTTGAGTCATCATGAAAATCTCACGTGATTGGCATTTTACAAGTGACAAAACTGAGTCTCAGGAGATGTATTTACCTAAGATTGGCAAAGAGCTGGGACGCAGACACAGATCTCTGCCAAAGTTTATGCTTCATAGCACTACTGCACACTCATGAATATGAACATGCACACGTCATTTATTTTGTTGTATATAATAACTGAGTAGCAGTTTCTAAAGACTATGAATTATCTCCATATATATTAATAATAGCATATACTTCACAATATATATACACACTGTAATGAAGCATGAAATATAATCTACTCAGCCTCCTAAAAGTATCCTCTTGTTCAAGGTTAACATGATAAACTATAACTAGTGTTAGTAAAACAGGAAAGACTACTATATTATTGAACCATCTTACCAGTGACTTTCTATATGGCATAGAATTCTTCTACTATTGTTGATGATTCAAAATATAACAAATTTTTTAAGGGAAGAGTTTGGCTTTATCTTCAAGAATAGTGGAAGTATTGATAACTGCATCCAATTTATTGGGGAAATATAACTGAAGACATCACATCTTGGAAAGGGAACTGGAAAAATTATTTTCAAAATAAAACAATTTTCCTGAACTCTAAGCACATTGATACTTTCATATGAAGAAAATGTATAAATTCAATTTTATTTTCTATCACCTCTTTTACTCTCTCCCTGACAAAACAAACATTTTAAAAACTCTCTTAAGTGGATTTGTAGAATGAGAAAAGTGAGATACAGATTTAATATAGTAATGTATTAAAATAGGCTTGTGAGTGACAACTAGGTTTAGGAGAACAACTTCTATATGGTATTTTATTGTCAACTAGAAGCTGAAACATAGCACCCAATTCATCCTTGAAATTGTCTCCTAAGCCAAATTAAAACAGCATACACTTATAAAACACATTGCGTTTTGATTCTACAGATATATAAGTAATTCTAGGTGATGAATGAGATTTGAATACAAAATATAAAAAGAATAAAGCCATTTCTATATGGTAGATATTTTCCAGAAACCCTTAGAAACAAGACTTAATAATTAGGCAATTAGAAACTCAAACCATAATTCTGGCCAACTGTAGCCTAACTGCTGGATTTGTTTGTTTTTATCCTTTATGATATATAAATTGGATGACCTAATATCTACCTACAGATAGAGATGTAATGTGTACATACTAATGTAAGTGTGCATACTAATATAGAGTGTACATACACACATGCACACAAACATATCTTCACTTTATACATTATCTACCCTAATACATATATACATCTATACACATATATATGCACACATACTTATATGTATACAAGTGTCTGTGTGTATGCATGTATATATGTATGATTGGACAGCCAATGTGAGATATATTAAAAATATTGAGAGAAATTAAAAGTATTGTAAGTTTTATAGTTCTTGGCCTGAGGATTTAATCTGATGATCATTTTAGATTGGCAAGATTTTTACCTTTGTTAATGGAAAGTCTTCTAATTCACTGAGTACTGAATAATTTTATCATGTATAGTTCTAACCTAAACATAATTTTTGTCATTTCATGCAGGTGTGACTCTGTAAAGCACAAAGTAAACTTTCCTCAAATTTATCCATAAAGGTTAACTTTTTTGAGCAAACTTCAGATAAATTGCTTTAATGTGAGTTGCCTAGCAGCAACCATGCTTTCTCAATTTACTTTTTCCCTAACCTTTCTTCACCATTCAAGAAACAGCATGCTCCTCTTCATCTACTACCCTTAGAATATGAGTAATAAAGAAAATGAGGACAAATTTTTGGTTATTTGAGCCCTTAAGTAGATTTTTGTTAATGTGTGACAGAGATAATATTCATGAACCCAAGTCTTTCAGTTTTAACAGCCAGTCACTTAAGAGAGAAAATTTTTGTTTTGTTTTATCCATTCCAAAAGTTTATCTTTACATATAAAGGACAAAGTTTGAGGACTCTTGAGTAAACCACTTATATCAGGGGTCAGTCAGCAAACTTTTTCTGTAAAGAACCAAACAGTAAATATTGTAGGCCTTAGGAGTTGATGATCTCTGTCTCAATTACTCAATTCTGCTATTGTAGCTTGAAAGCAGCCATAGACAATAAGTAAATAAGTGTAGCTGTGTACTAAAAAAACTTTATGGACACTGAATTTTGAAATATATGTACTTGTCCTATGTCATGAATTATTCTTTTTAAAATTTTATCTTTCTGACCATGTGAAAATATAAACCCTTTCTTAACTTGAGGACTGTACAAAAACAGGCAGCAGATGGATTTTGCCCATGGACCACAGTTTGCCAACCCTTTATGGTTTATAGTGTATACTGTAAATTATAAAGAAGAGAGGGTGACATAAACAACATATCTTCCCCAAACTAAGTAAGAATTCTGGAGTTAGGTCGTCTACACTCTTCATTAGAAAGTTCCTAGGTGCTAGAGGGTTAGCCTCAATGATAGAGTTGTAACAGAAACCTAAATTAATTTGAGTAGACTGCCTGAACAGAAGGGATTATATTTTAGTCTGCTCAGGATATAGTCTGAAAAACCTCATCTCAGAAAAAAAGCCCATGCTTTCACTATTGGAAAACCCACTTATACACCACAAAAAACACAGAAATGTGATTGAGATCAAGATGTTAGACCTAAAAGGCTAAGGTAAGACACAATACAGAGTCCTCAGACCCTAGTGCTGAGGTTCATCAGGGGATACCAGCAAGTGATGGTGGGGACCAGGGAGTCAAACTACACCTCCGTGGAGTTTGTGAAGCAAAGCAAAAGATTCAGAAGTTACCCCATGCCATCTCCAGCTTGTTGCCAGAATGACATAGCCCACCTTTAGAAGAGACCAAAAGGAATTTTGAAAAGACTGAGTAGTAACCCAAAAAAGACTGAGTTGTAACTTAGTTAAGTGGTCACTTGCCTAAGATGGATAAAGTTATCTCTAATAAGTGAAAATGTGGACTTGTAAAAAATGAATTCAGTTATAAGAAAATGAATAAATTTCTTCTTTGCCTATCTGAGCCTATCTGGAGCCTACCTGGGAAAATCTAAGAACGTTTAAGCTTATGCTAATTAAGTAAATCAACACACCATAATACTTAATGTCAAATATGGATAATCTTGATTATTCTAATCATCATGTGTACTGACTTAGATGGTAAAGCATTAACTTCTCATAAAAATTTTTTGAGGAATATGCCAAAATTATAATGACACGTGAATAGGTTTGTGCTCTAAAAACATAGGCTTGATCAGTTAAAACAACTGTGATCAAATCAACTGTTTCAAATTGAAGGTACCTGTGCTAGATTGAATTATTCTCTCTCACCACCCCCACCCCACCCCACCCTCCCCCTGCCAAATATCTACACTCTCAACAATGGAAACTGTAAATGTTACCTCATTTGGAAACAAAACAAAACAAAACAAAAACTTTATAGATGCGATTCATTCAGGATCTTGAGATGGAGAGATTATCCTGGATTATCCTGGTGGGCCCTAAAAGCCATCATAACTGGGTTTATATGACAGATGCAGAGGGAGATATGACAACAGACAAGGAGAAGACAACATGATTAAAGAGGCAGGGATTGAAGTGATACAACCACAAGCCAAGGAATGTTGGTAGCCAACAGAAGCTAGAAAAGGAAACAACATTCTTGCCCAGAGCTTCTAGAGGGAGCCCTACCAACACCTTGATTTCAGCATAGTGAAATTGATTTCTGATATCTGGCCTGGAGAATTTTGAGAAACAAATGTTTGCTGTTTTAAGCCACCAAGTATGTGGTATTTTGTTACATAAGTCATAGGAAACAAACACAGCGCTCAAGCACTAAGAAAGCCCAGCCTTATTTGAGGAAATGGTTATATGTTACTTTTCACATCTCTACTTTGTTTTCTATCACCAAACACTGAAGAAGGAAGGGATATATAGGTGACTTATTACTCAGTGTTGGGATCGATATTAAAAAGTTGGTCTCTTTTAACATTTTTAGTTGTAAAATATTTTCTTTTATCAAGTGATTTATCGTAAATTTAGATAGCTAATTAGAAAATTCTTATTCTAATCTCAATTTTGCTTTCCAGTAATCTCCTTCAGCTGGTCCTAGTTGTGCTCTTTCAAGCAAACCCAAATGGCTTTAATGTATCTATTAAATCACAAAACGTTAATGTATTTTTTAAAAATCATGTTAGGGACTTCCCTGGTGGTGCAGTGGTTAAGACTCCACCCATCAATGCAGGAGACATGGGTTCGAGTCCCGGTCTGGGAAGATCCCACATACTTCAGAGCAACTAAGCGCATGTGCCACAACTACTGAGCCTGTGCTCTGGAGCCCGTGGGCCACAACTACTGAGCCTGTGCACCTAGAGCCCGTGCTCCACAACAAGAGAAGCACAGCAATGAGAAGCCCGCACACCGCAACGAAGCGTAGCCCCGCTCGCCACAACTAGAGAAAGCCCCCGCACAGCAACGAAGACCCAAAAATAAATTAATTTTTAAAAATACCATGTTAATCCCCAGACCTCTCACATCTGTACCCTAGAGTATCCTACCCTAGCCTAGAAATATTCTCTAAGCAACATTTCCTTATTTCCTCTAGTTTTCATGTAACAATGATTTCTGTCAGCCTCCTTCTCAAAATTCCAGGAAAACAGTAGAAACTATCAAACAGATGATAATAGTTCATTTCTTGTGAGATTATCACATGTTAAGACACTGTACTAATGGCATTATCCCAAATATTGCTGTCCTATTTTATCAAGGAGGAAACTAACTTTAGGAGACTTGAAATTATTTGTCCAATATATTTAGTAAATGGTTGAAATCAAGATTTGAATTCATGGGGCTTCCCTGGTGGCGCAGTGGTTGAGGGTCTGCCTGCCGATGCGGGGGACGCGGGTTCGTGCCCCGGTCTGGCAGGATCCCGCGTGCCGCGGAGCGGCTGGGCCCGTGGGCCATGGCCGCTGGGCCTGCGCGTCCGGAGCCTGCGCGTCCGGAGCCTGTGCTCCGCAGCGGGAGGGGCCGCAGCGGTGCGAGGCCCGCGTGCCGCAAGAAGGAAAAAAAAAAAAAAAAAAAAGATTTGAATTCATATTTCAAAACACAAAAATATATCTCCTTAACCACCAAACTACATGGCAACCAATGGTTTCTTATTTGGGAAAGCTCCTCTCCAATGTTGCCTTCACAAATATTCCTAGTATTTAATTTAAGATTACAGTAGAGTGATGTGAGTGGTAGAAGAACCTTACCTGAGAGGAATGCTACAAGTTTTCAATTAACAGAATTCACTTTAACTTTTTACACAGCTATGATAGTAATTAGCTTCTGCTGAGCTTATGGTTAACTAAAAACTTCCATTTTTTAAAGAGGAATACTTATTAAATCAGGTCCCCTGTTTTATGTTTGTGGAAATGCTTTCCTAAAACTATATATAACTTTGGATTCTATAAATTTAAGTGCCTAGGTTCAGAGAATGGATTAACTATAATCCTTGATTCACAACATTTTCTCATTATTAATTAGTTAGCTACTTTTAATAATGTACTACACAACTGTGAACATACTCTGTAACACAAAATCATGTGTTTGTCATTTCCTTGTTTTCTTTTTAATATAGTTTTGTTGCATTTACATGTATCCCTTGTCTTCTTGTTTCTATTGTATTTCAAATTTTTAAGTTTTATAAAAGGTATCATGCTATTATCTACTTGTTTGAGACTTTGTCATTTAATATTAAATTGCTAAGATTCACCTACTGCTGATATGGCTTATTTAATTTCTCTGCTGGAAATAATACCTTGTGTAAATATTGTAGTAAAGTTATCTATTCTCCCATTGGTGGTTGTGTGGACTAAAAATGTGTTCATGATTGTGTTGTTGTTTTTGTTGGTATTATTATTGTTTAGGGTGATGAACAAACAGCTCTTAATTTTAATATAAAGCTGACCCTGAACAACACAGGTTTGAATTGCGGGGCTCCACGTCTACACTTTTTTTTTTCAATAAATATATTAGGAAAAATTTTTTGAGATTTGCAACAATTTTAAAAAGCTCACAGACAAACTGCAGAGCCTGGAAATGTCGAAAAAATTAAGAAAAAGTTAGGTACATCAAGAACTCATAAAATATATGTAGCTATTAGTCTATTTTATCATTTACTACCATAAAATATACACCAATCTTCTATAAAGTTAAAATTTGTCAAAATGTATGCACACAAACACAGGCCGTACACGGCCTCATTTGCGGTCGAGAGAGAAGTGTAAACAAATGTAAAGGTGCAGAATTAAGTCATAACTGCATAAAATTAACAGTAGTACATACCGTAGTCCTGTGATAATTTCATAGCCACCTCCTGTCGCTACGGTGTGGAGCTCGACTGCTGTAAGCCTCGGCTTCAAACGCCAGAGACGCCAATCATCCCCACCTGAGCAAGTGCGTCTCTCCGGTAAATCTCGTATCGCGGGAATGTGATCGCTCGCGGTTCTCGCGTAATTTCCATCGTGTTCAGCGAAATACCTTAAACCTTGAATAACACCATAGGACCCATACAGAGTTCCGGTAATGATGCTGGACGTGCTCCCAAGAAGCAGAGAAAAGTCATAACATTACAAGAAAAAGCTGAATTGCTTGATATGTATCGTAGATTGAGGTCTGCAGCTGTGGTTGCCACCGTTTCAAGATAAGTGAATCCTGTGTAAGGACCATTGTAAAAAAAAGAAAAGCAAATTCATGAAGCCATCCCTGCAGCTACACCAGCAGGCACGAAAACCTTGCACTTTTTGCAAAATACTTTTTTATCGCATATTGAAAATACAGCTTTTATGTGTTTGCCAGATTGCTATAAGAAAGGATACCTGTAGACTCTAATATGATTGGAGAAAAATCAAAGTCAGTATATGACAAAGTAAAAGACAGGTAAAGGATATAAAGCTGGAGAATTTAATGCCAGCTAAAGATGGTTTGATAACTTTAGAAAAAAAGATTTTGCTTAAAAAATGTCAAGATAACAGGAGAAGCAGCTTCTGGTGCCCAAGAAACTTTTTCTACATTGGTTCTATTGACGCTTTGTCCCTGAAGTCAGGAAATGGACCTTGCCAGTAAGGAACTGTCTTTTAAAGTCCTTTTGATATTGGACAATGTCCCTGTCCACCCAGAACTATACAATGTGGCAGAAAGGTTCTGATTATTCAATCCACTCTTGACTTCTTTTACAACATGAACCCTTCTATGATAGTGAAACTAAAGCAAATTGTAGAAGGATTGGTACTGTATAGAAACATTTTTTAGAGGAATGAAAAAGCAAAAAGTCAGACAGAAATTATGACGTATTTCCATATAGTCTGCCTGCCTCTCTTGTCTCCCCTTCCACCTCCTCCACCTCTTGTGACTGCCACCCCTGAGTCAGTAAGACCAACCTTTCCTCCTTCTTCTCCTTAGCCTACTCAATGTGAAGACAGCAAAGAGGAAGACCATTATGATGATAGATTTCCACTTAATGAATAGTAAATAATCATCATGCATACATTTAATGAACTTATCTGTTGTGTACATGTGTATCTTCATGTGAAAATCTAATAACTGTACAGCAAGAACTGTATGAGACATGTTTGTGTCAACATTATCATCATCCCCAAAGTGTTCATTGTGTAGTATATATTACAATATATCGTGTTCAAAACTTGTATTGAAGTGGATAGCCTATCCTTACATAGACATAAGGTAAGTGATATACAACATAAAATTAATAATGGGTTAGTTTTCTTACTGTTTCATATCTTCGCTTTCAAAGAAATAATTACATTACTGTTCAGTATGCCCCTCTCTCTCTTATAGAAACTGTGTATCAGCCTACCATCGCAGGTGTTTTGTTTTTGTTTTTGTTTTTGTTTTTGTTTTGCGGTACCCGGGCCTCTCACTGCTGCGGCCTCGCCTGTTGCAGAGCACAGGCTCCGGACGCGCAGGCTCAGCGGCCATGGCTCACGGGCCTAGCCGCTCCGTGGCATGTGGGATCTTCCCGGACCAGGGCACGAACCCGTGTCCCCTGCATCGGCAGGCGGACTCTCAACCACTGCGCCACCAGCGAAGCCCCGACGCAGGTGTTTTTAATGTTAACATGTTTCCAGTACTGTATTATGAATAACTGTAATACTGTATGCCATGAAAATTTCAAAACCATTCATTAGTGTATAGTGGAGCCATTATCGATTACACTAGGCTACCATAAAGCAATCATATTGCTGCTTCTTCATTATTAATGCATGAATCTATACCTATACCTATAAATAAATATGAATATCTTTTTCGCTTTTTTTATTTTTGAGGTCCAGTGTTACTAAAATGCCTAACAGCTACAGTGTTTTGTTTGTATCATGAGACAGTATTGACTAAGTACCAACATTCCATCATCTTGTAAACAGATGACATAAACTTAAATACAGTAAGGTACTGTAAGTGTATTTTCTCTTATGATTTTCTTAGTAACATTTTCTTCTCTCTAGCTTACTTTTTTGTAAGAATACAGTATATAATATACAAAATATGTGTTAATCAACTGTATTATTGGTAAGGCTTCTGGTCAACAGTAAGCTATTAAAAGTTAAGTTTTAAGGAAATTTAAAGTCATAAGCAGATTTTCAACTGTGCAGGAGGTTAGTGCCTCTAACCCCTATATTATTCAAGGGTTATATTTTTCTTTTATTTAAGAACTTTCTCCCGACCAAGTTCTAAATGATATTTATCTATATTTTCTATTATGAGTCTGAAGTTTTCTTTCACATGTAACATAGTGCACTAAGTTTTTATATGAAATAAAGATTCAATTTTGTCTTTTTCCTTTGATATAACCATTTTTCCACCTCCACAGAATGGTCTCTCCTTTTTTCCCTGATGGAAGAAGCACCTTTGTGAGACATCAAAGTTCTAATTTTGCAGAAGTCTTTTTGGGGCTCTTTATTCTATTTCACTGGTCAATTAGTTCAACTCTATGTCAACAATATACTCTCTTAATTACTACAGCTTCATAAGTCATTATATCATTTTGGAAATTTTTTTTTTATAAAAAGGTAATTTTGTATAAATTACTAGTCTTCAAAAATATCCCCCTTTCCCCTCCTTTTATACAAATATAATATTTGACTTTACAGCCCTCTATCATTTAGGCAGACACATGTGATAAATTCTAGCTAATGAAATTTTATTTGAAATCACGTGTGTCACTTCCAGACAGAGATAACAAAATGACCATTCTGCAATCTCTCTTTTCCCTTTTCACAATGTCCAATTAACTCTTATGTTTCAAACAGACAGTATGACAAAGGCCCAAACAGCCTACATTTCTCTATGGGACATGTAGGTGAATGAAAACTATATTTTGTGTAAATAAGATATTTATCTTCTGAAGTTGCTTGTCACTACATTTTGTAATGAAGTTATACAATGAATTCAAACCCTTAGTCATTTAACTATGTATATAAAAAAAAAACACTCCTTTTTTTCTTTTTTTTTTGGTAAATATCCCTACACACTGGCACTAACATGGGTTAGGATACAAGATTTCTTTCTGTCTGTGTTGTTTATTTATATACCAGCAGGTTAAAATTATCCTCCCTACCTAGTATCTTCAACTTGAGCAAATTCTTGTTTGAGAAATAAAATTGTAAGAGAGCATGAGACCCCAGATGGAGAAATTGAGAATCTGATTCTTTCCACATAAAGTACCAATACGTCTCTTGCCTGGCAAGAGTTTTACTTTCTAAAAATATGAAGTTGAATGTTCTAAGAAATATGGGCTTTGTTCTTAAGCAAGAATCCCAAAAAGTAGGAAAAGAGGAAAAGAAGAAATTTTCAGTAGTGGAAGATTAAAATGTGTCACAAGGAAAAGACTAGTATTATGTAAGGTTTTGCCCTGCATAGACATTAAGATGCTTATTTTGACTTTCTTTGTCTGTACTGAGTCACTTGTAAAACTATGGATGAGATTTAACAAGGAAGTGGAAAGTGTATTTTGTGAGCTAACACTCTAGAAAAAAGTAGAGTAGGAGTCAAACTTTGAGCTGCATCATGGAATTAAAAAATTCACATGATTGACATAGTTTAGATAGGTACCTTAGCAACTAAACTGGTACAGTATAGGTATTTACCATGTATTTTGGCTTTTTATATTGAATACTTTTGGACTTATGAATAGCTATCTATTCATAATGCAATACTGTCATTACTGACAATTCACTTTTGTGATGAAACTACACTAATTTTACAGTAGAGAAACCTTTTTTTGTTTTCAACTGTTCACTCACTTGAAACTTTTCTGCACTTCAGGACTTTTACTATAAAAATCCTATTGCCATAATACTTGCCTGCAGCTGGATACTTAAGTTATCACACTAAAGATTGATATAAATTGAGTGTAATTATCTGCCTAGAATCTTTTTTAAAAAATTTCCCCTTCTTTAACCATTAATTTTCTAAACCATAATTATCCACAATAATTTTAGTTGGTGGTCTTGACTTAGTGTCTATTAAAATAAAATCTATATACTGGTTAATTTAATTTGACTAAAAGAGAATCTCATGCCTAGTCACTAACATAGTGAGCAATTTTGTGAATTTTAAATGGGGTCTCTTAACTTGTACAGCTGGCAGATGTGCTTGACTCACCCATATTAAAATGTTGCTAAAATTCTTATATTCACCCAATAGCTTGGCACTTTAAAAAATGTAAATGAGAATCCACTCTTCACCTATCAGTTTGAAAAAGATGAAGTTAGAAAATACACAGTGTTAACAAGGGTGTAAAACATCAGGCACTTTCGTACTTAATGTGGCAGGTGTTAATTGGGGCAATGTTTTGAGGATGATTTAATCATATACTTAAAAACCTTTAATCATCAAATCATTGACCAGTAATTTCATTTCCAGAAATTAATCCAACATATTTTCTTCTTTAAGTGTTCAAAAGTATGCACGCAATGATTCATTTTTGGAAGTGTCAATAATAAATCCCCTTAATGGCACAATGAGAGGGCAGCAAATCCACACAATGTAGTATTATCTTACTCTTTAGTTATTCAAAAGAAAGCAAGACAACATATGTGTTGATGTATACAATCTCTACAAAAATAAAATAAACACTGCACTCTGCTTTGATCTGTGTATTTTAAAGAGGTTTTTGTGTATGTGTGATATGCACAAATATTTATGTGTGATTGCATATGTAGATAATTTTTGAAATATATAAATATAATTTTTAACAGTGGTTGCCATTCGTTGTGTGGATTTGGAATCTGAGCAAGGAGAACTTATTCATTATACTGTTAGATTTTTTTTTACCATATACATGTATTACTTTTCATTTTAAAAATCATTATGCGAGTAAAACAAAGGGAGAGCTCATCTAGTTTTTCAAGAATGCAGCCCTAAAATATAACAAGGAATATAAAGACTATCCTGTGTATCCTGCTGGGTGCTACAAAGATCCTCTGTCCCCTGTCATACCTGTTCCATGTAGTTTTCAATGACTTAGCAGTGACCTCAATTCCAGAATGAATATCTGAGCAAAATCTGGTAAAAAAAAGAGA